CCAACGTTATCTCATAAGTCACTCTCTCAAATTTGGTATGGAACCTGAAAGGTTTGAGTCGTCCGCCTGTTTTTAACAAACAGGGGCACTCAAACCCCTATTCCTACTAGGTAACCTATTGAGTTAATAGCCAACAAACATTGGCAAATCAAGGGGATCAGCCGTCCTCCGCCGCCTGGTACCTCTACTACTCAATCTAGATTGTGACGAATACTAAGTAACTCCTATGTTAACTTAATAGTCACTCAAACTTAGTATGGAGCCTAAAAGGTATGAGTCGTCCGCCTGTTTTAACAAGCAGAGGCCCTCAATCACTACTCTTGCTAGGTTAAAAAATTATGAGTTAAAAGCCAACAACATTGGCAATAAAGGGAAACAACCGGTGCCCGCCGCTTATTTTCTCTACTACCCAATTCCTTGACGACTAGGTAATACTTTATTTACTTGGTCAGACCACTTTCCTACTTGGTTAAAATTACAAAAAGACAGGCCCGCCTGCCTAAAAAGGATCCAGACAAAATAGTTCGAATACCGATTGGATAAATGGCCGACTGATCGTCTATCCTGGAAACAGACAACCAGTCGTCCAGGGGCATAGGCGGCGTACTAACTATCTGTACCTGTCTGCAACGTTCGGCCATGTAAAACAGTCGGTCTAGTAAACAATTGGATATTAGATATGGTATACTTAGACAAATTTGAAGCAAAACAAAAATTCATTAAAAATAAGTCGGTCATTGAAGACCAGCAAAATATTCAAAGCCCCGGCCCCCTATCCGGGTAAATACAAAGCAAACGGCACGCAAGCCGTGGAAAGAATACATAAAGCTTAAGAAGGGGGCAGTTCAGTATTAGCAGCTGCCGCCTGGTCAGCACTCTTCTTGCTGGACTCGGCTTCAGCTGCATCCTTTTTTGATGCCTTACCCCCAAGCGGCACAAGCGCCACTACCGGCTCCTCCTCCTCCAACGCTTTCCCCAACGCCTCTTCTTCAGCAGCCGCCAGGATCTCTTGATTATATGTATCCGAACACTGGCGGTACGTTCTTTCCCAAGAGGCAAAGTCGGCACTGGGGAAGAGGCGGCCCCAGGTCATGCGCTGGATTTGAGCGGAGTCTTCCATCATCTCCCGGACCAGCTCTTTCTTCTCTTGCTCGGCCTTTTCCGAGAGCTCTTGGGTAAGACTCTTCTCCCGGGTCACCAGGCGTTCCTTTACGCTGGCCAAGGATTTCTCCGTGGCTTCGTAAGAGTACATTTTCAGGTGAAGAGGTTTCAGCTCGGCCTTGAGATTTGTGATGGTCGCCTCCAGCTCGTCATTCTTCTTCTGGGCCGCCTCTAACTGAGCCCGAACAGCGGCGGTAGCCTGCGCCTGATAATAAAGAATATCAATGGTCAGTACTTCATTTTGGGCAATTTGAAACATTGCCTTATCACAGTCAGAGGCGGCCATAGCTTTTGCAGCCTTTACCTCTTTGTTTTTCCGATCAAGCGGCTTGCGAAGGCCGTTAACTCGGAGCAGGGCCTAAGTAAAAAACAAAAAAAAAAAGGGCGTCAGTTTCCAAACAAAAAAGAAAACAGGCGTCCAGAAAATTCAAATACTCAAAAATATGCTAAGTATACCTCAACAAGGACCCCTGCAATCCCGTCAAGGTCAAGGGTGCCGACACCCCTGACCGCCTCCCTTTCAGCCGGAGGAACTGCCCTGATCATAGACTTGGCCATTTCTACCAAGTCAGGCCCCTGGGGGCCGGCTGCATCAAGCATAAACAAACGGATTAGACTTGGTAAAAAAGGAGCAAGTCTAAAATTTACAAGGACAACTTCATACCTCTAGGCGGCCCAGTTGGAGCTTTAGAAGAAGTGGTTGGCTGTTTCTCAGCCGCCACCTGTTTCCTGGCAGAACCAGGAGAGCTCCCAACAGTCGTCTTCCGGGCCTTGGGGTCCGGCTGTTGGGAAGATGAAGCTCTTGGAGCACCCGTCTAAAACAGAAGAAAAAAGTCAGTATATGCATAAACACTCCAAAAAGAGGGTGAAAGGTTCGGAGCTCACCAAGGGTGCCCCCTTCTTGGGGGAGTCGGTTGAAGCTTGTTGCATAATAGAGGCCCGCAACATGGCCGCCGCAGTCTTGGAGGCGGTGATTTTGCTCATGGCGTCAGCTGCAAAAACAAACGGCAAAGTTAATAAAAGATAAACAACAAATGTATGAAACAACAGAGTATTCGACAGGCCGACTACCTCTTGAGCACCGACTGCTGAGGCCACAGGCGGCCAAAAAGTACTCGTCATAGAGCCACTTGAAGCTCGGGACGCAGTGCAGGGGTACTTGCTCTCGTACCCCTGAAGTAGAGTCGACCCTCGACTCTACTTTAAAGAGTCCTTTGTCAAGGATCTCTTTCTTAGCCTTGGGGGGAACAGGCGGCATGCTACGGCCGCGTGCAAGAAGGGGCGGATTCCTGTTCCACCTATTGAAGCGCTTGTTCTGCTCAATGTCAGAACTCTCAATGATGAGGAAGGTGCTCCGCCAGTCCTTCCACTTGTTTGCTTTACCTCTCGTCATGAGGTAGCCCCTGTGGCTTGTCAATTGATACCAGCCGGTACCGCCTGACTTAGGGGTCCGGCTGAGATAGTTCATGTGGGCGAAAGCCTCGAAGCTCGGCTCCACCCCGTGCAGTTCGCACCCGGCCACATAGCCGAGTACGTTGACCCAGGAGTTTGGGGCTAACTGCCATAACCCCAACTCATACCCATCCAAAATCCGCTGAACAGCCGGATGTAATGGGAAGCGAAGCCCTGCCTTGATGGCCGCCTCGTAGCAGCCAAAGCAGGAGCTTTCGTAACTAGAACCAGCCGGCCAGACGACTGTGTCTTCTGGATCCGGCACAAACACTAGAAAATCAGGGCCCATGGTGTGGTTGGCAATAAAGCTCTCCACTTTCTCTTGCATGGCTGTGATTCGGCCCCGAGGTACCGTGCAGTAGTAGGGGGTATTTAGCTCTCGGTAAGAGGCGGATGGTTCCGCCCAATTGTCCCCCTTCTCAACTGTGTGAGAAAGTCTCGCCTCTTGCAGGCGGCTGTTTTTCTCTTCTGTACCCAAAGAAGCATGGCCAGAAGAGCTTGACGAGGAATCGTCCTCGGACGAGTCTGAAGAGGACGACTCCTCCCCTCTCCCGGAGGGGCCCGCCTCCTCTCTTTGAAAAGGAGCAGATTTGTTAACTGTTAAATTGGAAGGGGTCACTATGACTCCCCCCACAGAATTGCCGGCATCCAGGCCGCCTTGTCTCACTTCAACATCTGGCGCCTGGTCAGATGTTTCACTAATCGGCACCCTGTGGGAGGAGCCGTCTGAATTTGAGATCCTAGCTGTCTTTTTCGTTCTGGCCATCCTGCTCTGCATAGACACAGATACAGTCGGACTTTGTATAAAGGGCAAAGATGGGTCCGGAAAAGGGCAGGCGGCACTCCTAGTCCTAGATTCAGCCGTCCCCGGTGACCGGCTGATCACTAACCTAGGTCGTGTCGTGTGCTTCCGTGGTGCCATTTCAGAAAATAAAAAGAAAATTAAGAGTAAGAGAACTGAGTTACCTGAACGAGTGACGGTTGATGAAGTTCTGAAAATCCTGTGTAGTCGGCTTGTCAGAACAGGCGGTAGGCAGAAAAAGTCCAAAATGTCAGAGCAAGTTCAGGGGTCCGAATGTTCTCAAATAGTTCTCAAAGTGTGAAAATGACTCAAGGCAACTCTCCCTTATATAGGCGAAGTGAGAAGGCGAAGGGTCACTTCCAGAATTCAAAATTTGGGCGGGAAAATCTCTCGTCCTTTCGCCGACTAACACCTGTAGCAGGTCGTCGCCCGTTACTGTGCGACACCTGTCACAGGTAACACGTGACCAGTCACGTGCCACCTGTGAGGGGCAAATGATTAGGGGATTTTGCTCCCACCAATCGGAATGCGCCAAGTGGACCAATCAGGTCCTGCCAAGTGTCTCCTAGTTGGAACTGTCAGGACTTGCCACGTGGCACGCGCTTATTCGTCCACCTTGGACCTGTTATGTCACGACATGTGGCATACTCCATGCCTAATGGAGAACCCGGCCACCCAGGCCCAACTTCCGAGGGAAGCCCAATCAGCCCTAGGTTTACCTAAACCTAGGATGGACACGTTTCCCAAGGTTATAAATACCTCCCTTAATCCTCATTAAGGGGACACGCGAAAAACATTACGGAACACACTAATAACCGGCTGATCTCGCTAACAAAGCAGATTACCTACATTAAACACTCTCACCTAGAGAGACCTTATTACTTTAATTTCCGCATTAATTACTCCTTAATCAGGTACTAACTTGACCGTTGGAGGCGGAGCTCACAGGAGTCTCCGTTATTTTGCAGGTACAGGCGTCCGGTTCCAGTCTCGGAATTGTAACTCTCCCGCAGGACATCAGAAAACCCCGAAACAATTGGTAAGAGAGCAAACATAACTATTTTCATTAGTCTTTAATCGCCAGCAAAAGAAGAATCTTATTCTTTGTGGAACAAGCATCCTCCACAATCCACAAATCATTTCATTCTCGAGCAATTTCAAGAGATGCCCCATCCTCACTTTGAATTGTCGCAATGACTGACCTAATTGTGAAAATATCAGATAAGGAGCCATTCCAAAATACCTCAATGATCTCCTTCTCATTATTCACTTGGTGAGCAACACTCTCCCTTAGAATATTCGCAGGCATGGATCCGCAAACGAGTTAAGCTTCCACCCTAGTTTATTATCCCACATTTCACTCACAACACAATAACTTGAACATGTAACGGAGGATCATTACTTGCATACGAAAGCACAAGGTCTTTGAAAGCCATCTATGATGCCAAAATAAAGTTTTTGATTGTGGTAATTATATCTCATCCCACAAGGTGTTTACATGGCTAGCTCTGTGTCACTATCAAGTCATCTATCCCATCCCACAAGGTGTTTATATGGCTATATTAGTATCACTATCAATGCATCACACATCTAATAAATAGAATAAAGTGTATAATAAGGAGAATGAAAAAGGGTATAAGATTATATTATTCTCAGTTTCGAACCCAACTTTTGTATTTCAAAGCAAATTCCCACAAAATACTCGTAAAATGATAAAAATTGGGTGCAGTTGCAGAAGCATCAACAATGGCGTCCAAGGGTTGTACTCCTACCTGCCTGGTTTCTGGCGGCTTCCATTGTTGTACTCAACATCAACCAAGGAAGGTAACCCTTCTCTCTCTTCTACTTTGCCCACTTTATTGGTCAGTTCTCTGGGCTTTTCTCCCCAACAATCTCACTCTACTTCCGCTAAGCTCGCAGTGGAGCGGCAAGCTGTAGGGGCGACGAGGGTGAGTGAATTTGATACTGTTGAAAACGCTGATTCTGTAATACAATTCTTTAAACAACTTGGGTTTCAACAATCTGATATTAGGAAAATTGTTTGTCGATTTCCACGGATTTTAGTTGCTAGGGTTGAGAAAACCCTAAATCCCAGAATTAAGCTTCTTAATGACTTTGGTATTTCTGGGTCTAATCTAGTTCAAACCATTGTTATAAACCCATCAATTTTAAACACACAGTTTGGTCCTGCAATTCATGCTTTTAGGACTGTTCTGGGTAGTGATGATAATTTAAGTACTATTCTCAAGCGATGCAATGGAATCTATTTTGGAATCTCTGCTAAGTCTTTGATTCCCAATATTGAATTGTTGCAAAATTATTGCAGCATTCCTATTGACAAAATCCGGAAAGAGATTTGTCGTCAGCCTAAACCTTATTTATTGAGGACTGATTTGTTTCAAGATAACTTGACTCGGGTTGAAAAAATTGGGATTTCTCGAGACTCTTCAATGTTCAACTATGGCCTCCAATTGATAAGTGGCTTAAGTGATAAGAGAATTGAGGATAAGTGCGAAATATTTAAGAGCTTTGGATGGACTCAATCTGATGTTAATAAATTGATCAGACGAAATCCTATGTGCTTGACAGCGGCTGAGGCAAAGATCAAGGCAAGATTGGATTTTTTGATGAACCAGCTGGGTTTTAAGCCTGACTTTATGGTATCCAATATTTGTTTATTCACTTGTAGCATTGAGAAGAGGTTATTGCCTAGGCATAGAGTCTTACAGGTTTTGAAGGAAAAAGGTCTTATACAAATGAATTACTCTCTTCCAAGTGCTGTTAAATTGAATGAGTCTGCCTTCGTGAAAAGGCTTGTTCTTCCGTTTGAGGAAGTGCATGAAGTTTACGCTCTGATGACAGGTTCTACAGTAGGGTCACTCACTGGAAGAGGATTTCCAAAGATGACATCGAATCCCATTGCTTCTAGATAAGAGTGCAAGGTATTAGGTGATATTTAATTTTGATATATTTACCACGCATTCTTGCTGGAAATGAACTGATTGCAGTGCTCTGATGTTACAACTCTTACTTATACGAAAGAGTATTGACTTCAGAATCTTCAGACTACAGAAAGGTCTTATACAAATGAATTACTCTCTTCCAAGTGCTGCCATCTTGAATGAGTCTGTGTTCTTGAAAAGGCTTGTTCTTCTATTTGAGGAAGTCAATGAAGTTTATGCTCAGCTGACAAGCTCTACAGTAGGGACGCTTAATGTGGTAACATTTAAAAGCCAATCTTAAAGGTGTCATCAAATTCTAGTGCTGCTGTATGTTAGTGAGTGCATATGGCATCAGGCAATGATAACCTTGTCATTTTCATCAGAATAACTTTCAATCTTCTCGCAATATCGTTTCCTTGTCCTGAGTAGCCTTCATATCTGTTGGAAATGAACTAGGAAAGGCTGTAAACCATTGGTTTCATTGCAATGCCATTTTTTGTTGTTTTGCAATGAGTAGAAGTTAAGTGTAATGTATGCTTTATTGCTTTAAATTAAAAGCTTGATTAGAGATTTTTTCTGTAAGGTTTGGACTTAGGAACTCCAAGCAACGGGTTCTAAGTATAAACAACAGATAATTATTATGGTTTGTGGACTGTGATTCTTGATGGAAGTTGGTGTTGATTTATTATTGATATGAGGTACATATATCTCTTATTCACTGTTTTCTATACCATACTAGTATTATAACTTTTAGGGAAAATTTAGGCACTAGTTGCAGTGCTATAATGTTACTTCTAGCTTTTGTGTGATTTAGATGCAATTTAAAAGTATTGGCTTAGCAAATCTTGAAGTTGCTGGCAGTGGCATTTATTAACTTGTGAAACCTATACTGCTTCTGTTCTTTTTCCAGTGCCAGCACCTTTGAGTCTTTGACTTCCTGTTAATATTGAAACTCTGTGACGTAACAAAATTACTTAATTAGTTTTGAGCAACGCAAAACATGGTGTCTTCTTTACATTACATAATGACGTGACAAACTTTGTTTTGTTTGCTACATATCTTAGGGTTTCTGGTAAAGTGGTAGCAGTAGCTCAGTCTTTACATTTAGGCTTTTGAAGGCTTAAGATCCATGTCAGTACCATATAGATACTATATAATCCTTTTGATTGCAGTATAGTTCTTGTGATTGGTATTATTCCCAAGTGACTATTGTGCAAATTGGTTCTCTTGTGACTGTGAGGGAGCTATGCCATATGATTTTGACTGGCTTGCTGTCTAATTGGTGGAATGTGCTGCATGAATGGCTTTCCCAGATAAAGATGGTGGAATCAGTTCATTGATGAGGTGAAAAGATGGATCACAAGAGGGGTAACAACTCTAATTTCCCTGTTTTTTCTGATTTGAAATTTGATGTGGTAATATGAATGTAGATGTTAACTTGCATAAAATTTATGATAACGCAAACACAGGATTAGATAATTTAGCCAAAGTTGAGGTTGAGGATAATGAAAAGGAAGTTAATTTCCAGCTCTCTGCTATTTGTTATGTCCTTGGGGCTAATCATCTAATTGTATGTGAAAACAGAGATAAAACTCTCAATGGGACCTTTTTTTTTTATTCTCTTAAATATTTTTTCTTCTTATTTTATAAATTTATGGAGCCAAGTTGTAAAACGCTAGACTATCGACTTTGATATCAATAGCCTTGATGTTTGTTGTGAGGGGAGTCGGTGAACTTTTATTTTTATTTTTGTTGGTAAGGAGAATGGCCCTAACAGGCCGTAACCTCTCACAACAGTAGTCACAGGTCGACTCGTGAATTCGTGATGATGTGGACATGGTTCCCTTTGGTTCTTATAGTGAGGTAAATGATAAGTAATGTTGAGGAGAGGTCGACTCCTCATTCTTAGCACGTAAAATATTTGTGTATGAAATGCTAGAGGACTCTATGGCTTTTATAAACTATTCAGCCTACTTGCGTAATAAGAAATTTTCTTAAGCTTTTGGACCAGCTAAGTTTTAAGCCCGACTTTCTGGTATACAATATTTGTTTATTCACTTGTAGCATTGAGAAGAGGTTATTTGTAGCATTGAGAAGAGGTTCTGGTCTTACAGGTTTTGAAGGAGAAAGGTGTTTTGAATTACTCTCATCCAAGTGCTGCCATCTTGAATGAGTCTTTGTTTTTGAAAAAGTTTGTTCTTCCATTTGAGGAAGTTCATGAAGTTTACACTCAGCTGACAGGTTGTACAGTAGGGTCTCTCACTGTTGCAGGAATTCCAAAGATGACATCGGATTCTGTTGCTTCTAGATAAGAGTGCAAGGTGTTAGATGATATTTAATTTTGATATATTTACCATGCGTTCCTGCTGGAAATGAACTAATTGCAGCGCTCTGATGTTACATTATAAGAAAGAGTGACAGTAATATTTATCAACAGGTAAGGCTTATACTGATTCTGTTCCTTTTCTAGTGGCAGCACCTCTAAGTCTTTGACTTCCTGTTGACATTGAAACTCTGTCAAGTAGCTGAAATAGTTAAGTAGTTTTGTGAAAATTGAAAACATTGCAAGCTTCAGTATGGCCTGTTCTTGTACAAAATTATTGTTCTTATACATAATGATGTTGCGATCATCTCTGATTTTAGTGTTGTGTGTATCATCTTTGAGTTTCTGGCAGCAGTAGCGCAGTTATTGTGTTACTCTATACTAGATATGAAATGTATGATAAATTGTTAAATAATGTGTAGCTTTAATTTGGTTTTTTATCTTTCTTGTCTCAAATATTATTTCTTACCATTATTTTAAAGGTACAGAGTCGCTTTCTTGTAGATGCCTATTTATATTCAAAACTGCGAAAACATGGTAAGCTGCAGTGCTTGCCTCTTCTCTTACTAAATGATGTTGTGAGTCTTGTGACCACCCTTGTTATATACTTGTATTTTCTATACATTATATTATCTAGGATCTAGAAGACTTAAAATCAATTTACGGAGTATTAACAATTTGTCATGTCATTAATAATTTTTGACTTGTTTCACAACCATCACCAATAGGGGAAAAGCTGCTCAGAATAAGAATATGTTCATGTTTTTACTTTTTACCATTTGGTCATGCAATTAGTTTGATTATTCAATAGAATCAAGAACACTCAATAGTTACATTCCAGTATAATATCTTCTCAAATCCTTTGTTTATAATACTTGGTCATTACTACTACTGAGCAGTGGATATAAGTGTCTTAAAAAGTCATGGACATTTTATTTTTTAAAGTAAGAGATTTTAGTAAAATCCATTTGTAAAGTTTATTGAAAATTTTGTTTTGTTACTCTGGACAATTCTCAAGACTAACAACATCATATGGATTAGGAGTAATGATTAGCTTTTAGAAAAGGTGACTAACTTTCGGTCTTTTGCAGATTTGCAATTTTGAAAAAGTAAATTTTTTGTGAGTCAATTTTTCTCTTTAAAAGGATAATTCATGAACTTCACTATTAATAGTTTGAATTTTGAAATACTGAATTTGAGTCCAGCCATTTCGAGTTGTATATGAAGTGTTATATAAACAAAGTCACTGTCGCATTTCTGAAACTTATTTATTGTTGAAAATAAATCAGATAATTCTACATGGTGGTCTCAAGAGTTCATGTTTTCTATATAGAAGACATACTTTTTTATAAGTCTCTTATGTGGCATCCAAGTTTTGGAAAATTAACCAGTGTCTTTTCTTTAGGTTTTTGGCTAACCTTTACAATAAAAATGGTTAACCTTTGATTTTTTTATTAAAAAATTATTTTATAAACAATAAAATTTATAAAAAAAATAAAAAATAAAACCCAATTATCAACCCAATCACCACCACCTCACCGGAACTCTAACCGCACGGCCCAGCCGCCCCTCTCGCCAACCGGCTGATCAGCCCAACCCCAACCACTCCATTTCCCTTCCCTAGCCAACCACACAACCGTGAGCCCCTCCTCCAATTCAAGCCCCTCCCCCAATTCGACATCCCCTTCCTCCACCGCTAGCCAGCGGCCCCAAAACTAAAACCCTTAACCCAAACCCGAAACCCCATAGCCTACACTACCCCCAATTCGTTAAGATTTGGGGTTTGGGTTTGGGTTGGGGGTTTTGGGAGTTCCTTCTACAATTCAGGTAAGGGAGGGGGTCAAATCGGGGGAGGGGAAAAGGTAAGGGAGTGGCTGGCCGGGGAAGGGAAAGGGAGTTGCCGGCAACAAGGCTGTGGGATTAGGGCTCCGGCTGGCGAGGTGGTGGTGGCAGTGGGGTTCGGCATTTTGGTAGGTGGTTTGCTGTTTTTTTTATTATTATTTATTTATTTATAAATCACTATGATTAATCAACTAAAAAGGTTAGCCATAAACTTAAAAATGGACACTATGGTTAATTTTTCAAAACTTTGGTGCCACTTTAGAGACTTGAAAAAAAGTGTGTTTTCCATATAGAAAACATGGACCCTTGAGGCCACCATGTAGAATTGCCCAAATGAATTTAGTGATCTTAAAATTTATAATTGCAAAGATAAGAATGAAAACTTTGGATTGGGTTGCTTATGCAGAAAGATCTCTCTATTAGATATGTGCCTTTAGTATCTGAAATTTAAATAAAGATGCAGTCCTTTCGGTTGAGTTAGTTTTTTTTTTATCCCTTGACCTAGCTGTTGGAAGTAGGCCAAGTAGCTACTCTTGCCCAAAATGCTGAACCTAAGATGAAAGAGGAGGTTGATAATTCGGTATATTGCTTTCTGGGGGCAACCTATTCATTAATCTTTTGGAGGGTGAAGAAATGCCAGATGTGTTTCCAATCTATGAAGCTTCTTTTTCTGCAGCTTATTTATGTCCTTACATTAGCTTGCTGTCTTGATTTAGATCATTTTAGTGATGTATAGTTGAAAATTATAGTAAGCTTGTTTTTAAGGTTTGCAACCTTTTTCAAAAGTTTGTCAATCAAGGGGGTAAAATAGACTTTTCCATCATTAAACCGGGGACAATATGGTAATATCCCATGGTGTGACTCATCCTCTTTGCCACTTATGCATTTGACGTGTGAATGATGGTGACATTGGTCGTTACGGCACAATTTTGCCGTTAATTCACTTGCTTGTACATGTGTCATAAATGCACCCATTTGAATGTTTTTTGTTTTATTTTTTTTTCATTTATGTATGTCATGCAACTACCCCTTATAAACACTGACTATTTATAATTTTTCACAATTAATGTATTGAATGTTCAAAAAAAATATGTATTGATATTTACTTTGTTCTAATTAGTTTTAACTTCAGTATAATATGTTTTAATACCATCTATATATTATATCACTTTGTAATGATACGTAATTAATTGACAGATTTCCCAATTAGGCATTAGTCATTGGTATTGCATTTCATTTAAAAAAATAATTAGACCATTAAAAAACGAAAAATTCGGTTGTTGTTATCATTAATCCCAGATTAGAATAATTGATAATTTGATATTGGGTAACTGAGTATGAAATGTAGTTATGGGTTACATCATTTGGCCTTGGTGATACAGAACAGGTAGATGGAGGGAAATCCCCCTCTACATAAGGTAGAACTTCATCTCCGATTTCACAAATCCGATTTGCATCATCTTCCAGACAAGGCTCCTCACTGCACCTAACACCGCTCCC